CCACATAATGTCCTTTATAGTTGAAATAAATCTCACATTGAAAAAATGTGAAATGCTATAATGGGATTATTTAGTTTAATTTATGGAGCTGTTTATAATTTATTTATTTAAAAAAAAATTAACAGAGTTTTTGGTGTAACTTCTATTTATATAATTTATGAGACAAAAATAACTTAAATAAAAAAATTGATTATTGAAAAGCAAATAGAGAGATACCTTAAGCTTCTACCTCTAATTGTTAGCTTTCAATTTGTAAAAAGTTATACCAAACAATTTACTTTTTTTAATTAAAAAAATATTATAGATAAATGAATTTTTTTATCTAATTTTCTTATCACTAGACAATAGATACAAGATATGAGTTCTATGTGTATTTATTAATGTGAATTTTATAACTTGTATCTAGTGATAAAAAAGTTAGTAAAAAAATTGTTTATATATAGCATTACTCTTTTTTATAAACCGATACATACTAATATGTCATTTACTATTTTTAGTTTAAGTGATTGAGTTGATTAAAATATCCTCATTCTCATTACATAAAATATTTTTTATCCATATGGTGGAGCTATCATGAGGAGAATACATACCAAAATGTTGAAAGAAAGTTGCATGTAAAGGTGGCCAAATTGTAGTTTGGCAACCCAAAAAACAAAAAAAAAAAGAAAAAAAAGAAAGGGCAAAATCATAATACCAATATCCTAAACTTCACCATCAAGTTTGGCATATGCTTAAATTGTAGCCAGGGGATTTAGGAAAATAATTCCGATTTAGAGTACTAAATCAGTATCTTTAAAAGCATTATTAATGAGTTGGCAAGTGTAGGAAAAAAAAAAAAAAAAAAAAAAACAACAACACAGAGGCCAAACTATCACATCAATAGTGAGATCCATATGATGATGTCATGTCATTAGTGGTGTTAAATTAGTAGTATGAAACATTTTTCTTAGGAAAAAATTTAAGAGTTGGTTTGCGATGTGGATTGATTTATTTTTTTTTGATTATTTTAATTTGTGGTTAAAAAGTCCTGCTTATGATAGACTTTTTGGCTTTTGTGAGAAAAAAAATAAAATAATTATAAGTTAAATGTAAGATTTTGTCTTATTTAACTAAAATAATTAATTTTGTCCTATATAACTATTTTAATCCAAATATGTATCCCAAACGGAGCCTATAAAGAATATTAAAAAAAATGTAAAAAAAAAATAAAATATAAATATATTTTATTCGCATTTTATTTTTTTTCTTCTCTTTTAAAATTTTTTTTCAAATTCCCTCACTAATCACAGTTTTAATTAATTTCCAATTCCGGACCCCAGCCAAGACCATTACGTGGACACGTGGATCGTTAAGAAGCCTCACCTGAAAGCAACAGAAGATAATAACCGTATAATTTTGTTCTCTTTCGGCTCGTTGATTGTGTAAAGACAAAGTCTACCCCTTTTTTTTTGGGGCGGTGCTTCGTGCCCTCAGTGACCCTCAGTGACGTGGTGCGTTTGATTGGCGGAAATTTAAAAAGAAAAAAATAAAAAATAATTTTTTTTACCCAATAAGAGCCGAAAACTTTTTTTTGTCCAATAAAAACCGTGGGGTCTTAAGTCATTTTTGGTTTTTTTTTCGGATAATGCTAGGGACACCAAATTTTCTACCAAACAAATGACCAAATGTCTCACATGGGTGTGGGGTCCGCAATTTTGTGGGCCCCACACCCATGTGAGACATTTGATCATTTATTTGGTAAAAAATTTGGATTATGATAGACTTTTTGGCTTTTGTGAGAAAAAAAATAAAATAATTATAAGTTAAATGTGATATTTTATTTTATTTAATTAAAATAACTAATTTTGTCCTAGATAACTATTTTAATCCAAATATGTATCCCAAACGGAACCTATAAAGAATATTAAAAAAAATATAAAAAAAAATAAAATACAAATATATTTTATTCACATTTTATTTTTTTTCTTCTCTTTCAAAATTTCTTTCAAATTCCCTTACTAATCACAGTTTTAATTAATTTCCAATTCCGGACCCCACCCAAGACCATTACGTGGACACGTGGATCGTTAAGAAGCCTCACCTGAAAGCAACAGAAGATAATAACCGTATAATTTTGTTCTCTTTCGGCTCGTTGATTGTGTAAAGACAAAGTCTACCCCCTTTTTTTTTTCACCAACTGGTGTAGAAGTCAGCTGGGCGTACCAAGATCCCCGACTGCATGTGCGCCACGTAGATAAACATAACTGAAAGTGTGAGTCCCTATTGATGAGGACACGTGGCATGATGTGATGTTTTGTTGTTTTGTTGGGACAAGTGGAAATGTGAGAGTGGAGAGGAGGAGAGAAGTCAGAGATGTAAAAAGGTGCATGACGATTGACGTGGGTCCGATCCACTTTAGCTTCTTGCCTTGATGGATAGCATTAGCATGACGGGTTAATCACTTGGAATTATTAGGTACAATTTATTTAAATTATTTATAGTTTTGTTTTCTTATTTATTATTTTGAGAGTTTGTTCAAATTATTTACTGCAGTTTTTAATTACAAATTATTTAAAAAAAATAAACGTAAATAGCTTGAAAAGAATTGATTTTCTGGAGAAAAAAAGTACATGTTCATTGTGAAGATTCATTCCCAGACCCCTTTTTTTTCTCAATTCTCTTCTTTTCTTTCCGCTTTTCTTCTCTCTCTCTCTCTCTCTCCACTCCTTGAGTTTGTTCATCTATCGCCCCATGGCATCAGAGGCACACACTTTATCTTGCGATGATGATCTTTCTATTCGATTCAAGACTTTTGTTCTCATTGATGAAACAGATGAAGTTGTCCCGAGTCCAACTGATATTCGATCCAGTGTGGCTGAGTGTGCTTAGTCTCTGATTGGGAAGGTTATCACTACCAAACCCATTAATCTCTATGGCCTTAAGAACACCATGTCCCTCATTTGGGGGAACCCTAAGGGTGTGTTTGTTTGGACGGATTGGATAAGGGGGATTGTAATCTATCGGACTGTTAGTCCCGGAATACATTGTCCCAGGACTATTTGGTTGGATTGGATTTGTGTCCTATGTTTGTTTAGTTATGGGATTAGACGTCTGGATTTGACTATTTTTGGTAAATCCAATGTTTGGTTAGACGGACTGGATAAGGATAAATGTTCAAAAGACTATTTTACCCTTTTCTAATTGTTCACTAAATAATAGCATGGAGGGTAAAATAGACATTTTATAAAATAATCTCATGGGTGGGATACCAATCCCATAGTTTCTATCCCACACCCCCATGAGATAGAATAGTCCCATATTTATGAGACTAATAGTCCGAAACAAAATTTTTCAAACAAATAATGGACTATTAGTCCCACCCTTATCGCTCAAAACAAATATGCTCGAAAGGGTTTAAGATTCTGGAGATTGGGGATAATCTTTTTCAGTTCATTTTTACAGAGGAGCGTGATTTACTTCGTGTTCTTAATGGAAAGCCCTGGTTTTTCAATAATAGTTTTCTGGTTCTCCGTCGGTGGAAGGCCGGTCTTCAACCACATCTGTTATCATTCCATCGTTCCCCTGTCTGGGTTCAGATTTGGGGTTTTCCTCTTGACTGTTTTAGAGAGGCCGTTGGCACCAAACTTTGCCAACCGATTGGTGAGGTTTTGGATGTAATTATCCCCACTTCTGGCAGTCGTGAAGGCAGGTTTATACGAGTTTTAGTAGTTATTGACATTCTCTCCCCGCTCAAGCGAGGGGCCAAGATTCGGCATGATTCTACGCATTGGGTTGAATTTCGCTATGAAAAATTGCCCACCTTTTGTAGTTATTGTGGTGTTATTGGTCATGATAAGTGGTCTTGCATGAAGAAGATTGAAGATCATGAAAAGGTTGCAGTTGGTCCAAATCAATATGGGTTGTGGTTACGGGCATCACTGGTCAAGTCAGCTGGAGGTCGCCAGCATTTACCTGGTTCAGATGGCCTCTCTTTCGGCATCGGCAGTGTCCGCCCATCGGGATAAGAAGATAGCCATTGATGGAGAGAAGTTTATTTCAAATTCTTGTAATGGTCGCGATGAGGTTACTCTTGATCCCACTAAATCCAGAGAGGCAGATTTGCTGGGGCGTATTGAGATGATCACGGAAATTGCCTCTCAGAGCTCCCTACCCACCACTAGTGGACCCTCTAGGGCCCTATTTTTGGATCGAACTAGGCCCAACATCAACACTTTGGGCTTAATGGATACCCCCACAATCTCCCAAACTTTACCCCTCTCGCAAAACTTACGAAACAAGGCCTTTCAGCCATGCTCTCACCCCAGCCCAAGACCTTCACCCATCCCACTCCTGCTGAGGTAGGTCAAGCCTTATTAAATATATTCCATTCTACTTCCAATAACACACTTAGGCCTCGTTTGGCAAGAGGCTATTTTAGCCATTTAGCCAAAAAATTACTAAATTAGCCAAAAAGCTAACAACCCATACAAAAAAGTCAAAGATTCTCTTTTCTCTCTACTTTTTGCACATCTTTTCGTAATTAGCCAAAAAGTCATCCCAAACATACAAGTTTTTTTTACCTACCTTTTTAGCCAAATAGCCAAAAAGTTACTAAATTAGCCTGTTCCCAAACGAGGCCTTGCTGTCCCCACCCCTTCTGATATTTCTCTGCCTCCTCTACCTAGTTTATTACCTCTTTCTCCTCTCCATCCCCAACTCCCAAACCCACCTGTTATTCCTCTTTCGCCTTGCCCAGCCCTGCCTTCTACTACCACCTTACCTTCTCTCTTACCCTCTTCGGGTAAAGCCAGTCCTCAGGGGTATAAAAAGCGAGCACGCAGGCCGAATGGTAACTTGGCACTAATTCCACCAAGCTCCTCTGTGGGTAAGAGAAAGTCCTCTCTCCTTTCTATTTCTGATTCTGATGTTGACGTTGCCCCTGGTAATAAATTGAAGAATGGTTCTAGTGGTTCTGTATCTACGGTGGAGGTGGCCAGCCAAGAGTGGCCCCCAGTGGCCAGATGAGAGCTTTGGCATGGAATTGTCAGGGTGTGGGGAGCCCTCTGATAATTCATCAACTGAAGGAGCTTTCTAAGCTCTACTCCCCGGGGTTTTTTTTCCTAAGTGAGACAAAAAACTCCGAGAAGAAGTTACGAAATATCCAACAAAATTTACATATGGATCAGTCTTGTATTGTGGACCCTATGGGCACTGCGGGTGGCTTGGCCTTGTTTTGGCAGAATGAAATTCAGTTGAGTGTCATTTATACAACGAATTTTTTCATTGAAGCTCAAGTGGTTTATGTACTCTCAAAACATTCTTGGCGATTAATTTGCATGTATTTTAGCTCAGTTGATTCAGTGTGGGTTTCTCAGATGCATTATATACAGGAACGTAGTGCTAGCTTCGGTCAGCATTGGGTAATCTGGGGAGATTTTAATGACATTTTGCATGCTACAAAAAAGCGAGGTGGTCATGCTCGTCCTCATTGGTCTCTAATTCCTTTTCGTTCTTTTATTGATAGTAGTGGACTGTTAGACTTGGGCTATAGTGGTTTCCCGTTTACTTGGCGTAATAACAGAAATGCTGGGAGTTATATTATAGAACGATTGGACAGAGTCTTGGCTAGTGTAGATTGGCAACTTTCTTTTGATCGAGCGATTGTCACGCACTGTGAGTGTGTTGGGTCAGATCATAACAGCTTACTTTTGGATCTTTACCCACATTTAGTGCGCCCTCGTAGTCGGTTCAAATTTGATTCTCGGTGGATTGGGGAAAGGGACTGCAAATTTACTATCTAACGTAGCTGGGTGGCTGTCCCAGGGTCTCGCACATTCAAGGTGGTCCACAAGTTGAGCCAGTGTCGTGCAAATTTACGAATTTGGAGTACGACTCGCAATTTTAATTCTGCTCGTGAAATTCGTCACCTCAAAGACCAGCTTGTGCTTAAAAGGCAGAGTCTAAGACCTAATCAAGCCCATATCCATTCTTTGGAACACAATCTTCAGACAGCTTGGGGTAAAGAGGAAGCATTTTGGCGTCAGAAATCGCGAATTGACTGGCTTCGCCTTAGTGATAAGAATTCCAAGTTTTTCCATGTGTGCACTATGCAACGGAGGTCCCGGAATCGTATCTCTGGCGTGGAATCTGTTTCAGGGGATTGGATTAGTGATATGGATCGTGTTGCCTTCGAATTTAATTCTTTCTTTCAGCAACTTTACTCTCCAGATAGTTCGTTTTCTCCAAAACCTACTCTTGGTTTGTTTCCATGTATAGTGAATGCATCTATGAATTCTCAGCTCACAGGGTCAGTTTCGAATGCTGAAATTCGAGCTACCTTATTTGATATGAGCCCGTCCAAAGCTCCAGGCATTGATGGTTTAACTGCTGGCTTTTATCAAGCTTACTGGGATGTGGTTGGTTCTGATGTTGTCAGGACCCAAACTCGCCCCTATAGGTTTAGTATCATAACCGGCTAGTAATCCTTGGACTACCGAAGGCCTCTGAATAGATTAACAAGATTAAGGGGCTAGCGGAAGAAAATACATAAATATAGTTGTCCAATGAGCTGTGCTGACTTATATGAACAGAATAGTTAAAACTTTATATAAGTATGCAATAGTCATTCGTACATTATAGCCACACACATTAAACTATCTTAAGTACAGCCAACAAAACTACCAAGTCTTATATGTACAGAAACAACGGAACTTAAACATAAGACTCTTTGGGAACCTCCAGGTGAGGCACAATGGTTGGCTGACAATAGAACACAGATCCGAACAAAAGCCTTCAGGCTCGAACTCCAGAATGCCCACCTACATATATATATATATACACAGTGAGTTAAAGCCCAGTGAATAACAGTAAGGTAAAGGGGTTAGTGAACGAAATCCGAACATGTCATAGGCGGAAAACAGATCATAACATACTCATTCTCATATCATAACATAATAATGGTACATCCCATAGAATACATCACAGAACGTCTTCCGACTAGAGTAATCGGTTCCAGATACCGATTAAACACATATCACCACAATGAAGTGGCTAACGAGATCTCGTATCACATATATGTCATGTACCCGCATTTTCACGCCGTCCCCCATGACTTGGGACTATCTATGGATGCCATAATAGATTTCAAACATGAAATATTTGTTCACGAAAACAGATATCATTTCAGAAATCAGAACTTATCATATTTCATTTGGAACGTAATTCATATGAACGTATCTTTACAATAACGTTACTCACAGTGGTTTCCTGCAATGGTCAATCAATCCTCGAGTCTTGACCTACAATCACAAAATACATAACACAAGCATTTCTTATCATTACACATTCATGTGGCCATCACGGCTTAGCTTACTTTACATAGGTTTCTTGCTTAACACATTGCTCAAAACACACTCTTGAATCTCATAACTTAGTACATTCTTCACTTAGTGTGTTTCTAATCCATAACCTCATTATCAAAGCTTAATTAGGTCTTAGGAATGCCTAAGATGCAATGAGGATGCCAAAACATGAGTTGGAACACTTAGGAAAATTTTTTGAAAATAAGGTCCCCGCTCGAGCGTAGACTTCCTCGCTCGAGCAAGCACAGCAATGCAGCCAACTCAACCTTCAAAACACATCTCTTGGGCCCCAAAACTTGAGATAACATAGTAAACTTGTAAAACATGAAGAATTTCGCATTATTTCATAAAATCATGGCCCAAGAGTTCGTTAAAAACTCACAATTTCAACTTAAAACATGATGAATGTTCATGAACACAACATGCATGGGTTTTCTTGGTCTTGAGCTTCCCAAAACATGATCAAACACCACAAAACAACTTGAAACTTGATGATTTCCCCAAATGAAGATGAATTTCAAACATACAAGAGAGGATTCATGGAAATCATGTTCAATTTGTAAGAAAATGTACATGCATGCATGAATTGCCACTCAAATCTTCCTTCTAAGCTCAATATACACCCTTAAACACATAATCTTCATGTTGATAACTTAGATTCATAATTTAGGGGTTGATTTCATACCTATAGTCTTGAATTAATCTAGCTCTAGCTTAGTTTTGATGAATCTAAGCCAAGGTCTTCAATTCTCCTTCAATTCCTTCATCTCTCTCTCTAGAATTGCACACACTCTCTCTCTAAAAGAAAACCTCAGATTTTTGCACTAAGAGGAGAAAAGAATTGAGCTCAAAAATGAGTTAAGGCTCATATATAAATTTATGGTGCTAAAACACATTAATTAGAATATTAGGCTAACCAAACATGACTTAATTAACCGTTCCGAATCAATTTTTAATAAAACTTGCCATATGGTTCTAAAAATTTCAAATAACATATCGGTGTAGTCAATTTCGGTTTCGGATGCCGATAAGGCTTTCAATTTACATATTAAAGTAGAATTTCAAACAGATATTCTATAAGTAACAGATAGAAGGCCAAATATCATGCAATTTACATATTAATCCCATAATTCATTTGATCCACTCAATTAGCATCTTTAATCACTAATTAGTAACTAATTACGGGTCGGGGTTATTACAGTCTCCCCACCTTAAAAAGTTTGGTCCTCCAAACTTGAATTAACGTATGTCAACAGAAATGATGCCCATCATAAATGTAACTTTAACTCTTTACAAAACAGAAGCATAACCATAATCATAAACATGCTCACGTTCAGGGTTCATATCAAAACAGAGTTTTATACGCATTCAGACTTTAGTCCAGAACAGATTCAGATACATGTTCATGTTCATGTTCATATTCTTGTCCAGATCATATGCAGATGTCACAATTCTTACTTAAGCATACGTGGTGCATTCATTAGCACTAACAGAGCAAATACAGAACAGATGCAGACATAGCAGATACACAACAGATGCAGACACGTGATGGTTATGAATAACCAGTTCCGTAAAGGAACCTCCGAATTCGGGAACAGAGAACAGATAAGCTGAGCCCCCATGACGGGGCCTCCGGTACGGGTAACAGAGTGCAGACAGATATAAGTTCCATGAAGGAACCTCCGATACTGGGTAACAACCAACAGTTATCACATAATACCAAAAGTCACACAAATACATATCAGAGATTGGACAATTATTCATTGCACAACACATAATATTTCAGAAAGCAGATCCCCTTTAGACACACAGAAAACAAATACAGTCGAACACAACTTTACTACGTTATTATTCACATTACTTATATCAAGTACTTATCGGGGTCATAGATTCACACTATTTCCATTTTCATAAGTAATTTCCCCCGTTAAGTTACAGAGATTTGATTTATTCATTTCCGAGTCATTCATCCAGTCTTTGTTCAACTTGGTTTTTAATTCGGTAATCCATTACAGTTAGTCCAGGTCATCCAAAGTATAGCAGAAATATCAGGCAATTTCGTACATTAACCCCATAGCAGTAAACGAAATTCCGAATTAATCATTCATATACTATTCATCAGCCTCAGTTTTCACAGATTCAATCGTACTATGTGTCAATACAGAAGCAGTCATACTGATTGCGTATCCTCCCAGGTAGTCAGAGTTTATAATCGAACTAGTCTGCTGTCAATAAATTCCATCAGTTTTGAAGTACAGTAACACAAAAGTAATCATTCTCTTAGTCAAACAAGTTCATGGTAGTAACGGTAATACCGGAGTAATTAACCACGTGTCATGTATACGGTATTCCCATATTTTCCAAGCACAAGTTACCAAATTTCATAATCTCATTCACGTGTTTTCCTAATCGGTTACAGGCATATGGTAAGAAGCTATTCGTAATCACATAGTCTGTTGTTGACGGTTCACATTCTTCCTAAGGGTTCAAGATTGATTCTAGTTCACATTCGGTTAGTTCCCTTAGCAACACGGCCCTGTTATTCAATCATAAGTAATTCACACTCCCCCATAATGTAATCAATCAGATAATAGCTCTCAATAAGGGTCTCCTCAGTTCAAATCAATGAAAGTTAAACCAGGTCATATCAACTGAAAGTTCTACCTAGTCATTTTAAATAGAAGTTCAAAGCGTGAGTCATCAAACAGAAGTTCCATCAGTTAAGCAAGGGTCTCATCAAACCACGGTTCTATCAGGTTAGATCAGGTAAAAGTTCTATCCTTATCATCTCTAATCGAGGTACCTTAGTTCTAAGTTCATCAATTCTCAAAGTCACATTAGAGTCATGTATCATAGTAGTTCATGTCAAAGTGTTTCAGGTCATATACAATGTGTTTCCTCCCAATAATTTTACAGGTAAATGCACATGCATGTAGTTATTCACATTGAGAGGTAAGCATTACTGTTAATATAGCATTTCCCAAATGAGTTTTTCATGTAAGCATAAGGTACACAATAGCAAATTGTTATACAGAAGTTTCAAATTGGTCATACAGTCATTAAAGCATGGGCTCACTGGTCCAGTCAAACAGTCTTGTCAATGTTCAACAATCATAGTCCACAGTTTAGAGGTTATCACATGGGGTCTTTACTTAGTCATACAATCCCAGAATCGTAATCCCAATGGTCAAATTATCAAAACAAATAACATATCAATCATTCCGGGCAAAGGTACAGTCATATATGTGTATGCCCAAAGTCTAATAACATCCACAAGCATAGGTATGCATATACATAAGTCCAAACATTCTCCATAGCATAGGTAGTTGTTAAACAAAAGGGTCTAAAGTGTCACACATAGTTCATATCAGGCAGTAGGTCACAAAGTGTACAAGCAAGGACATATGTATACGGACACGAGTCTAGAATCAATTATCGTTTAGGCATTTATTCGCAAATTCATAAGCAAAGGTTCATTCTTCCAACCTGACATAAGTTCTCAATTTCAGAAATTCCACACACGACGGTTCACGTATATATTCAAGTTCATGGGTCTAATCATTCAATGATGTCAGTCAATATATAACGATTCGGTTCAAGTCACAGTCATACAGATTTTCTCAAATTATAGTCAATCATAATGTATTCCCATGTTCGATAGTTCTAGTATAGTTCAAAAGGTCGTACCTAACAGTTCACATTGAATTGTTGCACTACAGTACAAAGATCTAACCCAGCAAATTCTCGTTGTTCACAAGTCCCAACAATTCTCATAGCACAGGTGATTCGTTAAGTTCATAAGGTTCTGAGCATCTCACATAAAATTTACATTAAATAGTGAGTCTTCAAGATAGTCAATAACTAGGGTTCATAATTTTAATAATTCAATTGGTTCAATCAACACGCCCACAATCTATATCAGGTTAAGGAATGTACACTTTCCACACAAATTCCTATATAAACAATTGCACATAATTAAGGTAATACCTACATCAGTCATTTCAGTACTCCGAGCATTTTCTGGAACTAGGGTATAGGAATAGAATCTGTCACACTAGCATCAGGCCTATTGTTGTCCGGATGAGTTTGTGGGCAAGATTTAGCCAAGTGTCCTCTCTATCCACATCTGAAACAAGCTCCTGACAGGCGGCGACAAATACCCCAATGTTGTTTCCCACATTCTCTACAAATAGGTATACCATTGTTCACATTGCTTCCCCGACTTTCTTTGTTCAAAGTTATTGCCCTAAATTTTTCATTCGCAGAGGTCACTGAATTACTAGTCATTTCAACCTTTCTGTTTCTTCTGTTTCGTTCTTTCTGATTCAGTTGATGATGTTGATTTTGACATTTTCAAGGCTGCTATGTTTGCCTCGGACATTAAGGCCCTATCACGAACATCCACGTATTTTGGCAATTTTAAGACGCCAACTCGATCAAACACATCTAAGTCAAGCCCACCTTCAAATTTTCTAGCCTTTTTATAGTCAGTGTCTATCATATGGGGTGAATAACGGGCTAACTCAGTAAATTTTGTTTCATATTCAGCCACAGTCATTTTGCCTTGTTTTAGTTGTTCAAATTCGGATACCTTCATATCCCAGATGTATTGGGGAAAATATTTTTCGAAGAAAATTTCTTTAAATCTATCCTATGTCACACCCTCATTATCATTTCGTACTAACATCCACCATCTCCTAGCTTCCTCTTTGAGCGTGAATGTTGCCAACAAAACTTTCTGTGCCTCAGTACACGGAAATACCTCAAATATTTTCTCAGTTTCTAGGACCCAAGCCTCGGCTTTTAACGGTTCAATACCCCCCTGAAATTCCGGTGGTTTCATCTTATTGTATTTCTGTATCAGTGTTATCATATCATAATTAGCTGGTTCAGGTACATGTACTTGCCCTTGTTGCTGTTGTTTTAGATTTTCGGTTAAGGCTTCAACCATTCATTCTAACCGGCTAATTCTAGCGTCAGAAGATTCAGATTCGTCTCTATTCCTTGTCCTTTTCATGGGCTACACACAAACAGGGTGCTTATTAATATAAGGAAAACTCTCATTGATTCCACATTTCATTTCATATCAGACGTGTTTATATTTTCATTTTAATTCAGATACGGTCACATGATCCTTTACTTCCATACGTTCATGTTCACATAGATTCCACATTCGGTATTGAAATTAACATTACATGTTATTTCACTTAACTTCTTTGATCATGCTCAAGGTTTCATTTCGTTTCATTTCTAATAAGGACGTGTTCATAATAGCTCACATACTTATACATGATAATGCAATGTCCCTATTTCATTTCTAGGACATCCTATAGCTCATATGGACACGTGTGTGCGGTATAACTCGTGCTTTAATACCACTCTGTCAGGACCCAAACCCGCCCCTATAGGTTTAGTATCGTAACCGGCCAGTAATCCTTGGACTATCGAAGGCCTCTAAACAGATTAACAAGATTAAGGGGCTAGCGGAAGCAAATACATAAATATAGTTGTCCAATGAGCTGTGCTGACTTATATGAACAGAATAGTTAAAACTTTATATAAGTATGCAATAGTCATTCGTACATTATACCCACACACATTAAAGTATCTTAAGTATAGCCAATAAAACTACCAAGTCTTATATGTACAGAAACAACGGAACTTAAACACAGGACTCTTCGGGAACCTCTACGTGAGGCACAATGGTTGGCTGACAATAGAACACAGATCCGAACAAAAGCCTTCAGGCTTGAACTCCAGAATGCCCACCTACATATATATATATATATATATATACACACAGTGAGCTAAAGCCCAGTGAATAACAGTAAGATAAAGGGGTTAGTGAACGAAATCCGAACATGTCATAGGCGGAAAACAGATCATAGCATACTCATTCTCATATCAGAACATAATAATGGTACATCCCATAGAACACATCACAGAACGTCTTCCGACTAGAGTAATCGGTTCCGGATACCGATTAAACACATATCATCACAATGAAGTGGCTAACGAGATCTCGTATCACATATATGTCATGTACCCGCATTTTCATGTTGTCCCTCATGACTTGGGACTATCTATGGATGCCATAATAGATTTCAAACATGAAATATTCGTTTACGAAAACAGATATCATTTCAGAAATCAAAACTTATCATATTTCATTTGGAACGTAATTCATATGAACGTATCTTTACAATAACGTTACTCACAGTGGTTTCCTGCAATGGTCAGTCAACCCTCGAGTCTTGACCTACAACCACAAAATACATAACACAAGCATGTCTTATCATTACACATTCAAGTGGCCATTAAGGCTTAGCTTTCATTACATTGGTTCTTATTCTTTCTTATCACATTGCCTAAAACACACACACTTGTAGTCTCAAAACTTAGTACATTCTTTTCTTAGTGTATTTCTAATCTATAACCTCATTACTATGGCTTAATTAAGGCTTAGGAATGCCTAAGATGCAAGGAGGATGCCAAAACATGCCTTGGAACACTTAGGCAAAATTTCTGAAAATAAGGTTCACGCTCCGAGCGTAGATTTCCCCGCTCGAGCGGACATGCAAAATGCTCATGGTCGCTCGAGCGCACATTCCTTCGCTCGAGCGATCTGTAAAAGACATGAAACTTCTGGGAGCTTGCAATTCATGCTCGAGTGGACTTTTGGTCGCTCGAGCGGAGTGCACGCACTCAGAGTTGTCGCTCGAGTGTGAACTCCCACGCTTGAGCGTAGATGCAAATTCTAGAATTTTCAAATTGCACCTACGAGCTCAAAACTCGAATTCCAACCTTCAAAACACATCTCTTGGGCCCCAAAACTTGAGATAACATAGTAAACTTGTAAAACATGAAGAATTTCGCATTATTTCATAAAATCATGGCCCAAGAGTTCGTTAAAAACTCATAATTTCAACTTAAAACATGATGAATGTTCATGAACACAACATGCATGGGTTTTCTTGGTCTTGAGCTTCCCAAAACATGATCAAACACCACAAAACAACTTGAAACTTGATGATTTCCCCAAATGAAGATGAATTTCAAACAAGCAAGAGAGGATTCATAGAAATCATGCTCAATTTGTAAGAAAATGTACATGCATACATGAATTGCCATTCAAATCTTCCTTCTAAGCTCAATACACACCCTTAAACACATAATCTTCATGTTGATAACTTAGATTCATAATTTACGGGTTGAATTCATACCTATAGTCTTGAATTAATCTAGCTCTAGCTTAGTTTTTATGAATCTAAGCCAAGGTCTTCAATTCTCCTTCAATTCCTTCATCTCTCTCTCTAGAATTGCACACACTCTCTCTCTAAAAGAAAACCTCAGATTTTTGCACTAAGAGGAGAAAAGAATTGAGCTCAAAAATGAGTTAAGGCTCATATATAAATTTATGGTGCTAAAACACATTAATTAGAATATTAGGCTAACCAAACATGACTTAATTAACCGTTCCGAATCAATTTTTAATAAAACTTGCCATATGGTTCTAAAAATTTCAAATAACATATCGGTGTAGTCAATTTCGGTGTTTCGGGCCGATAAGGCTTTTTGGCTTGTCCCCCCCAAGATACAACAGCCCGACTAAGATGGGTTTTCTTGGTCTTGAGCTTCCCAAAACATGATTAAACACCACAAAACAACTTGAAACTTGATGATTTCCCTAAATGAAGATGAATTTCAAACATGCAAGAGAGGATTCATGGAAATCATGCTCAATTTGTAAGAAAATGTACATGCATGCATGAATTGCCACTCAAATCTTCCTTCTAAGCTCAATACACACCCTTAAACACATAATCTTCATGTTGATAACTTAGATTCATAATTTACGGGTTGAATTCATACCTATAGTCTTGAATTAATCTAGCTCTAGCTTAGTTTTTATGAATCTAAGCCAAGGTCTTCAATTCTCCTTCAATTCCTTCATCTCTCTCTAAAAGAAAACCTCAGATTTTTGCACTAAGAGGAGCAAAGAATTGAGCTAAAAAATGAGTTAAGGCTCATATATAAATTTATGGTGCTAAAACTCATTAATTAGAATATTAGGCTAACCAAACATGACTTAATTAATCGTTTCGAATCAATTTTTAATAAAACTTGCCATATGGTTCTAAAAATTCCAAATAACATATCGGTGTAGTCAATTTCGGTTTTGGATGCCAATAAGGCTTTCAATTTACATATTAAAGTGGAATTCCAAACAGATATTCTATAAGTAACAGATAGAAGGTCAAATATCATGCAATTTACATATGAATCCCATAATTCATTTGATCCACTCAATTAGCATCTTTAATCACTGATTAGTAGCTAATTACGGGTTGGGGTTATTACAGATGTATGTTCTGCTATCAAAGCATTTTTCCATAATGGTAAGATGCTTCGTAGTATTAACCATACCCTTATTTCTCTTATTCCAAAAGTACCCCATCCCGTCAAAGTTTCGCAGTATCGGCCAATTAGCTTGTGTATTGTTCTGTATAAAATCATTTCAAAGATCCTAGCAAAGAGATTAGCTCCGTTGCTGCCCTCTTTAGTTAGTGAAAATCAAAGTGGTTTTGTGACTGGAAGGCAAATCACGGATAATATTTTGGTAGCACATGAAGTTATGCACTATATCAAACAGCGGCGCCAAGGTCAATTGGGCCTCATACTCGACATGACTAAAGCCTATGACAGAGTTAGTTGGTCTTATTTGGAGGCGATTATGCTAAAGATGGGTTTTAATCCCCGTTGGGTATCATGGATTATGGAGTGTGTTTTGACGGTGTCATTCTCTATTTTACTTAATGGTGAGCATGGAGCTGCCTTTAATCCAAAAAGGGGACTGAGCCAAGGCTGTCAATTATCTCCTATGCTATTTATTTTGTGTGCGGAAGGTTTCCATCTTTTATTTCAACAGACAGAAGCACAACGTCAACTTCATGGTGTTCGTATTGGTCGTTCTTGTCCACCCATATCTCATCTTTTATTTGCGGATAACTCTATCATTTTTTGCCAAGCCTCGGTTGCTAATGGCATTTCTGTGTGGAATTTATTAAACATATATGAGACAGCTTCGAGGCAGACTATCAATCGAGATAAGTCTAAGGTATTTTTTAGTCCTAATACTCCGGTAGATCGGCGTAGCTTCATTTTGCAATCTTTAGGCATTGCTCTTGTGGCTGGTGGCGGGAAATATCTTGGGTTGCCCTCTATTATTGGACGCTCGAAGATGGAGGTGTTTCATTTCATTCAAGTTCGTGTTCTCTCTCGCATTGCGAGGTGGAAGGAGAGTTTTCTTAGTCAAGCAGGCAGGGAAGTTTTACTCAATTCAGTCCTTATGGCTATGCCGAATTATGCTATGAGCTGTTTTAAACTCTCGGTTTCATTGTCCAAAAAAATCAATGCTGCTATTGCTAGGTTTTGGTGGGGTAGTCAAGGTGATGAAAGAAAGGTTCATTGGTTGAGTTGGCCAAAGTTAAGTGCATGTAAGAAAAGAGGTGGGCTGGGCTTTCGAGATCTTGAAGCTATGAATTTGGCATTGCTTGCTAAACAGGGGTGGCGTCTTGTCTCGGGGCCGCCATCTCTCTTTCAACGGGTTTTCAAAGCTAAATACTTCCATAATACTTCCTTTTGGGTAGCAAAAGACTTTGCTTCTGCTTCATGGGCTTTGAAGAGTATCCTTGCATGCCATAAGGTGCTGGAGCGAGGGTGGCGTTGGCAAGTGGGTAATGGTCGAAATATTCGAATTTGGGATGATCCTTGGCTTCCTTCTCAGTCTACCTTTCGAGTTTTGGTCCCTAGACCAGCTGATGCCCACATTACTTTGGTATGTGATTTGATTGACTCTGTTTCTATGACCTGGAATCAACCTCTTCTGTTGCATTCTTTCTCAGAAAATATGGCACGTATGATTATGGCTATTCCCCTCAGTTACACGGGGGTTGAGGATAAACGAATTTGGTACTTTCCTTCTACTGGTAATTTTACAGTTCGCTCCGCATATGATATTGCTTCACAAGTGTGCACGGATAAGCATAAACTACTCGTCTACTAGGTGACACTAGTTCTTCGGCCAACATTCAACATGTTTGGAAGTCCATCTGGAAAATTCCTATTAAGCGTAAAATTCAGCATTTGATTTAGTGATGCGCCCATAATATTCTCCCTACTAATCTTGCTCTTTGTCAGCGTAAGGTGTTGACTGATCCATGGTGTCCTCGTTGTGGTGTTGAATTGGAAACGTTGGATCATCTTATGCTTCGATGTCCTAATTCACAACTTGTTTGGAAATGCTCTCCGCTTCGATTGGAATGGCCTTCACATATTACGTTGGATTGTTTCTCCAAGTGGTGGCACTATCTTGAACACCATCTAGCTAGTGTGGAGCAAGGGGATAAGATTCTTCATTTGGCCTGTTGTATTTGTTGGGCCCTTTGGAAGTCTCGGAATGCTTGGGTTTTCTCCAAAATTCACCAAATGCCACCATTCATCTCCAGCTTGGCTGTGGCGGAATGGATTGAATTTTCTGATGTCTTGGATTTGGACTCTCATGAGCAAACATCATCCTTGCCGAGTGTTTTTACCGCCGCACTATCCTTGACATTCCTCCTATTAACTGTTGGGTGTGTCCTCCTTCTGGTTATATCAAACTGAATGTAGATGCAAGTACAAGAGAGAGGGATTTTCGGGCTGGAATTGGCATTGTGGGACGAACTTCGATGGGTGCCATTTGTTCATCAAATCTATCCCTTTATCTACTTGTCCTTCCCCTAGAGTGCTTAAAGCTCTGGCAGTTCGAGAAGCCTTACAGCAGGTATTGTTTGGCCAACATCGCCATACAATTGTTGAAGGTGATGCTAAGATAGTATATCAAAGCCTTAATGGTGAAATACACCTTCCTCAAGACATTGCTGTGATTGTGCAAGACTGTCGCACATTAAGTCTTTCTTTCCGTTCAGTCTGTTTTCGTTTTGTTCCGCGTATTTGTAATGGTGAGGCGCATGATATTGCGCACCATGCACTGTCAATTGATGAGACTTGGGTGTGGGAAGTTTGTTTTCCATCCTGGTGTTTACACTCCCATCAATATGATATTGGGCATCTAGACCCATTGTAATTATCTTTATGAATAAAACTCTTCTTTCTTTGGCAAAAAAAGAAAAGAAAAGTGGAGTGTTTTTTTTTTCTTTTTAATTATTAATTTTTAGTTTATAATAAATTGTACCAAATATATTCCATGTCAAAAAATAATAATTTTAATACACATGTTACATACTATTATATATATATTTATACGTATTTCATTACACTTAATCATATATTTTTCAATCTTAATCATCACATATTGGTCTGATTTTATCATTCTACAATTACTAAATAAAATAGTTAATAAAGCACAACAAACCTTGGTATATTCTTAAATGCCTTTAACAAATGAGACTTAACTCAGACTAAGCTTGGGTAGACTCTTATCCTGCTTGAGTTACAATTTTATAAATAATCTCATAAAACTTCTAAAATATAAGTGAACAAAGAAGAATGGGAGCATGTAAGGAAACAAATGATCCCGATTCATAGAAGATCAAGTTTGGTAAAACTCCGATCTCTTCCTTCCTATGCCTCCCATGAAAAATGTAGTATAGAAAATCACGTCATCATGCATGCATAGTATCACCGATCAATAATTCAACCATATATGTTAGGTTATAACTAATTGATGATACTATGTGTAAATGATGATGTCATATTGCTGTTACACTCAAGGTTTTGTCTGTTGTTTTTTTGTTTTTGAACGGGTTACACTAAAGTTTTACTTGCCTCCGATGTAGTAAAAAAATGTAGTTAATATAATATATATATATATATATATATGGCGAGAATTTCCCTGGACATGGGCACATGCACCAACAAGGAATTTTAGATAAGCCCAAAAAAGCCCCAATGTGCATAGGTGCCAAATACCAAATACACAGCCAGGGTAGCAAGGACATAATCTAGTAGCCACTTGTAACTCAAAACCGCCCAGGGCAACAAGGACAAAGAAAATATATATATGTTAGATCTATGGGAAAAAGTAGCATGCAACAAGAGAGGGTGGTACCAGATGCTCCTAAGACTACATTTTATGGTACATAGTTTTAGTGCAAGGGACTGTTGCAATGACATGATATTTATTAAATCAACAAAACAAGAATAAGATTCTTGTGCTTGCATCTTTAGAAACACTAAGAAAGTTGAACGAGAAGAGAATGATATAGGAAATGATTGAACTCTTACATTGGAAAGTCCAAGCTCTATCTCTTACTGCAAATCATTCAATATAGAAATCAGAACGAGGGTATTTTTTACCTACTCGTAATTTTTAGAATAGAGTATATATATATATATATATATATATATATATATTTTGTTTTAAATTTTAAATTTTATTTTTCTGGGCTAAAAGATATATGGGCCAGAGTTGGCGTACTACTCTAGGCAGGCTAATAATGTGTATAGCCCACCTTATGAACCTGGCAGGGCGTTTGTGGACTAACAAAGGAGAATTTTGGGCTGAGTCATGTAAGTGCAAGTGTGCTTTGCAAATTCTAATTTTTGACATGCCCAGAAAAATTTAATTTCTTTTGGTGGCAGAAACATTGTACCCTGTTTGGTTTTGGATGAAATAGGCACTTTTTCTCCAGCTATTTCACGCCCCTTTTTTTTTCTCTTTTTTTCTTTTTTTTTTTGGGGTGTGCTTATGCTGACTACAAGAACTAAAGCATCGTTTTTTAACTCAACTTTTTCACTAAAAAAAAAATGTTTTAACATGCATCAGTTTTTATTTTTATTTTATTTTATTACTTTTTTCTAAAAAAAAAAGTAGAATACCTACTGAAAAAACATTTGTCAAATAAGTGTGGGCCTCATTTAGGATGTGTAGATATGATTCAAACGGTTTGAGAGTAAAATTATAATTTAATGGTGGATTGATGGATTGAAAAATTATGATTTGGACGATTTTGGACGAATTGGTAGATTGAAAAATATTCTAACCAATTATCAAACATGTGTATAATATATAATACTAATTTGCATAACATATTTCATATATATAACACAAATTAATTTTACATAATATTTTGGGTAATGCACCAATAAATCCCAAATCATAAACTTTTAAAAAATTTAGTCATGCCTTTTATTTTATGCAGTGATAAGTCTCATTTGAGTGGTAATGACATTTTTGTATATGGTGTTAGCGCGTGTTGTCCCAAATGTTATGGGTAAATTAAGAATTCGGTGATGTGAAAATTACATTTGTGCCCAAAAAGTTTACTATATTCTTTTTTTTGTTTTCCCTCCATCCCAATCAAAATGGAAGAAACGAAAATGGAAACATTGTGGATTCCGAATATTAATGGGTATAGATTGCTTTGTTTGTTGTTTATTTGATTTTGGCAACATTAAACCCTATCTTTGTGTTGTCAATTTTGACGTTTGGTTTTCTCCAAACCCTAGAAATACACCATTTTTGTCAATACAACGATTATGATCGAGAATTACATTATTCCGTTGTTGGGTTGACGTTACAGTCATATAACTGGTGTGTGTATACTCTTTATTGCCTCGATGGCAGCGTCCTGTATATGTTTCGATATTGTTATTTTACTTCTTTGATAAATATTCTGATTGTATTGTCGACATCGTTGTCTATTTTTATATGTAATGTTGGGTCAGTAATGTTATAAGTTCATTGTATTGTTGTTGTATGTGATGGTAATGTGAATTTGGAGTACATTGAGATATTGAGATTTTGGTAGTGTGGTCATTGTTCTGTTGTGGGTTCTATATGTGTAGACGTCATTTGATAAGTTAGTATAACTTTGTGTTGCCGAACAATAATTGTGTTGTGTAACGTTGTGATTTTTGTTAACCACTTTTTGTCATTGTGATGTTTGTATTAACATGTGTTTTGTACACGTGAAATGACTCCTGTTTGTTGACACTGTTATGATATTGGGGATGTAGTAATGTTTTAGTGGTTTAAGTCATTTAGATGTTAACTAATGTCAATGTCATAATAGAGACGAACACCACACCAGTAACACCACAAATGGGATAACATCATCCACACACAAATCACTCCACTAAATCCCCACAAAAAAAAAAAAAGAAAAAGAAAGTAAAAACCTACTTTACACATGCACACTCTACATCAGGAAAAAAAATCAAAAAAAATCACACACAAGAGCAAACAAATAAACTCCCAAATCCCCAAATCAAGAAAATACAACATACCCAAAAAAAAAAAAAAAATAAAATAAAATAAAATAGTCTTCCTGCACGAGACACTACAAGATTTCGAGAGGGCTATATATGTACACATCCTTCAGCATGCAAAGAGACTGTTTTGTGGTTTGAACCTGTGACATCTTGATCACAACGGAGCAAACACAACATAATCTAGGCCATTACTCCTGTTAAAATCAATACTGGATGGTCTTCTCAAACTTGGATACAATATGAAAAGAATCACATTTGGTGTTTGGCAACAATCCTGAATATATTTATCAAAAAATATACATTTCTAAAAAATTGGCAACAAAAAAAAATGGACGATTTATACTTCTATGGACCAAACTTTCAATTGCCCATAATTAACATCAAAATGTTCTATACAACACAATCCACAACCTTTGTTGTTAACCAATGCAAAGCAATTTCTGGCCCTAGAGATGGTCAAGGCCACGATTAAATACGCAAAGTGGCAAAACAATTAATCAACCAAGGATAATTGAATTTACAACCACTGTCCCACATGATGATTTCTTTGGTTCTAGAGCCAGTTTCTCATTTTCTTCTCTTTACAAAGTGGAATATAATTGTTTGTATATATAAACAATGAACATACCTTGATGGTAGCCCAATAGCCTAGCCTCCCCATTATCATATTCTTGGATGGTACATTGAAACAACCTTACAAAACACCAATTAAGCAAGTATAGAGAGAAACTCAAGCCTCCCATCAACACTCAATAACACAAAACTTCAAAAGGTCCATTACTGATAACATAGGGGCTGTCAAGAATGCTGCTGGGCCATTTTTATCCGTCTGTCAAGTATCATGATATGTATTAGCACTTTGAACAAACCATCTACTAGAGAAAATAGAGATATATAGAAATGACTTTGACAATGGATACCTTGAATTTCATTTGGTTTACGCCTAGTGCACAACCACGTGTATGGGCAAAATTATACTCATCTTTAGTTGCATAAGGTATGCAATACAAAACACAGACAAGTTTGTTGCCAATTATATTGAAGCAATTCTATATCAATCCAATTTCTAGATCACAGATTTTGCCTCTGAAGATATTTTCCTTACTATGTTTACTTATTTTATCCATGTTATTTGATCTTTTTGTCCTCATTTTGCAGTTGATGAATCCTTCTCAAGCATGACATGACCATCTAGATAAACTTATTTTTCAACATTTTAGCTACACATTTTTCGATGGTCATCTATCAAAGCCCCAACATTGTTTGAATACATTAACATAATCAATGCGGTCCTGGTAGCATGACATGTGCTATAAAGACACTAATCGAACGTTTACAGCATAATACACATCACTCATCACTCAACAAGGCATTTAATGGATCCCCTAAAGATTACTTTTGCAAGTTCACTTTGATACCAGTAGTACAAATCGAAACTTGACAAACAGAAAATTGTTGCTTGAACGATCATTTACATCAATGGTAAGCTTCAAACTGGGGGTGCAGTGAATCTCATCTCAACTCCGTTTCATTCCTATTCATCGTAGAACTAAATCAACAAATTTCACAACTTCCTAAATACAAAATCAAACAACTCACATTGAGGACATTGAGGTCAGTTTGTTTTAAGTCAAATTTCGATTAATAAACTGTGTTTCCTTTGCCTACAAAAGATTAGATGCAAGGTTTCGGAATCTTATGAAGCTCAGTGTCTACAGAACATAAATGAGCTCAACAAATTCCAACCGAGCACCCCCACTAGAACCTTCATCCATGAATCTATACGTAACTTGCCATAATCTTGAGCAAATACAATTTCACATGGCTTTTTGTGTGTGCGCGCGCGCGCGCATGTAATATATAGTTTAGGTATGTATGATTAAAACTACCCCCTATGAACATTACGAATTGTTAAGATATCCAAAACTATTGAGCACATTGAACCCTAAAATTTAATGTTGTCAGACAAGGACCTGTCCCTTGCACAACAAATTTATACACCAACATGAGTATTCAAATGAAAATTACATCAAACATCTTATGCCTACAATATGACCCTCCAATTCACTACTCTTCAACAAGATATTTTTATTTTTGGACACACACTAATAGGTCTAACATGGTTGTGCATTCCTCTTATATTTGATGGCTACACAAATTGGCAATAATTTCACAATTTAGCTACATATAATAATCGAAGAGAATCTACAGTAATGATGGATTCAAAAGTTGTACAACTTCACATACAATTGTAATAAACAGATACCATGATCAAATTCATATAGAAAACAACTCTGCTAAAAGAAATAAAACAGAAACAATTGTAAATCCAATCCTCTACCTCTTAATTGTAGTAATAACCTTTTCCCAAACAGTTGAGACAGCGTTGTACCCTATAATTAAGATCACAAATTTCAATCCATATAATTCTAGTCAGCATGAACAATTTGGTTTCAAGAAATTGTGCAAAGTTTAAAAGAACCATTGGAGAAGAAAGGGGAAAAAAAAAAAGAGAGTTATTTTTATTTTTATCTTCTAAACTATTGTCATTTTTTCCATTTCATCCTAAGAGTATTAATTTTTATTTATTTAGCCCAATTTCAACTAATGTGGCCCAATTGAAAAGATCACTTCAAAATTTGAAAAACTTAAACTGTACAACCAAACAATCATTTTTGTATTCATCATTTTGAAATGAGGGGTGGAGAATATGGGTGTTTGATTGTAAGGTATAAATTGTCTAATATAGTGTAAGTAATAAAGGTGGGTGTTTAGTTGTATGATTTAGATTGTCTAAATTATAAAATTATCTTTTTGCCCATTAGATTAGGTTTCCATCATTATTATTTTGGACATATTATCTCCAATGGAATCATATGAACTGAACTGATAAACTTTATGATAGAATTGATAGTTTATGAATGAAATTTAAAAAAAAAAATGGCAATGTTTTAGAGGATAAAAATGAAATTAACCAAAAAAAGGAAAAAAAAAATAAAGAAGAAAATACAGAAAAGAAGGAATGAGTAAAGAGAGTGACCTGTTTCCATCACAAGTAGGGCAAAGACAAGGGTTTATAACTAGAGGATCATACAGAGGTGACCAATGTATTGTTGATTTCCCTTTGCACAATTTGCAAATGTAAAACCCTTTTCCCTTGCACACTCCACATGCCAATGCAAATTTCTTCTGCACAAACCAAAACCCCAAAACTCAAAATTCAACATATTTACTGTTCTATTACAATTCTTAGATACTATAAACACTTATATATATATATATATAGAGGGGAGAGAGAGAGAGAGGAGTATAGTTACCTGTTTGGCATCAACGATTGCTTGTAGGGTTCGAATGGTGGCAGAGGTAGCTAGAGAGAGAGTGAGAGCTCCGCCGACGAGTATAGCTGCGGCCGACGCTACCTTGCGCAGTGGGTGTGGAACACCCCCACCGCCACCGCTCGCCATTGTCAGGGTAGTCTTCTACTGTCAGTACAACAATGGATTGGAAATACCTGTGGTGTGATTTTGGGGGTTTGGCTGTGAAACGAAATCTCAACCGTTAGATTGTCTGATCAATCCTGTCCGTTCATCACATAAGACGTACTGTAACCAGATAAAAATAAAAAAAACCTGACTCCATTGTTTGGCAAAAATTACACTTTTAACTTACAACAATGATTCATCCCATTAAAAATATCACTATTAATAGAACTAATGCATTAAAAAAGTAAAAAAAAAAAAAATATAACTCCAAGATCAAAACATCACATCATTAATGACGGGATCCACTGCCACCTAATTAGTAGGAGCACTAATTAGTGCTCCCAAACATTTTACGTTAACTTATAACATTTTTCCTACGGTACTCTGCCTTTATTTCTTTTCAATCGAAAAGAAAAAGAAATGAAATGAAAATAGTCCGAGGGTGAGCATGTAATAAAATATTATGGGTGTTTGGGAAGTGGATTTTTATGTAAATTTTTTTAGTTATAGGATATTATTAGTGTTGGCTTTTTGGCTTTTCGAAGGGTATTTTTGTGAATGTGAGCGTGCCAGCAAGGATCAATCAGTCCTTACAGAAGTTGTGATTGCCAACCAATTATCAGACGATTGTGTTTTAGTTCTTTTCAGCCTCAATGAAGAGGACTTTTACTGGTGGCTTGATTTAGGAGAAGTTAATAGAAAATAACAGTAATATGAAGAACAATTGAAGTATTTCACTCCGTCACATTTTGTATTCCCAAAAAAGTCCAAAAATATATATTAATCCATTGTCTGATTTCTTTTTTTTTCTTTTCAAACCACTTAAGATGAATATGTAACTTGATTGATAGATGGAATTATATCACTAACCATCAAGTCTCCACCTTTTTTATCTCTCCACTTCCAGTCTCACTATGTATTAAACTCATTATCTCTCTTCTGACACTCTCATACGGTAAGGTAATGTACGGTTAGGATTATTTTTTAATTATAGTATATAAAAACCCTGAATTATAAAAACCAAAAATAGATAAAATCATGCTCACAGTGCAAGAGATTCTCCTAGTACAGAATAGATTCTCCTACTAACAAAATGACTAAACGGAACATAAAGACATTTTCATATTCAAGTTCTAAACATCAGAAAAAAAATTTCAAAAAATATACCTCATTTAAGTTAAGGTAAAAAACACATCCTCTACCATTCATCTTAACTAGATCAAATCAGTGATGCCATCTAAATGTTCCAACTCAAATCTGACTTGGTGTACCAGAAAAATTAGAATTAAGCAAAGACATTTCACAAAGATAAATTAAGGAAAGATAATAGTAATAGTAATTCTCATTCTAGACCAGATAAGTGATGATAAATATAATGTCTCCCTCACATTTTGGCCATGTTTGATTGGTTAGTCATTTACTAATGAACTCTTCAAAATAAATCAAAAACCCTTGTTCTAATGATAATAGTAATAGTACGTCACTAATGCTGAGCTGCTGTTTATTACATTCTGAGAAGGGTTCATATGTTAATGGAACAAGTTCTAAATGTCTCAAAAATAGTTGATACAACCATCAGGCAGAGTGTTATCCAATGCAAGTACCTCCGAATCAGCCATACAGATACTGGAATTCTGAATATTAGTGTCTCAATTGAAACTATGTTCCTGATAGTGTTTACACCTAAGATTATTGTGATATAATGTCTAAATTTTGAGAAGTAGCAAATGAGCTTTAAAAAAAAAAAAAAACCTAACTGAATGAGAGTGTGGCTAAATCAATTACATGTCTACAATCTTGGGAAAAAAATACCCTCCCAACTCTCATTATGATCTAAAATCTGCAGTAAAAAAGGTTCTCTTTGAACAAAAGACAATGAAAGAAAATGAAAATGACATGCTTCTGGAAAGATGAGGACAACTTGTCTGATATTAAAGATTGGGATGAACTGTCTCAGCCATGTAGAACTTTGTGGTTGTAATTGTTATTGCTTTGTCCATGTAGTAATGGCCATTTTATTAATGAAAAAGATGATGGCAAAAGTATAGATGCAAGGAGCAACACCCATTCTGATTATTTGGACTCTACAAAGGCAGTGAATCTGGAAACAGAACCAGATTCGGCTCCAAAGAAGAGGGGTAGGAAACCTGTATATATATACAGGTATATACATATAGATTTTTGTGCTACATCAGTTGAAAATCAAAGTAAACGCCATGAAAAAAAGGCCTCTTAAGATGGGGGAAAAAAAAAAAAAAACCCATCAAAAAATCAAACGCAAATATTAAAAATTGAAAGCCCTCAAAATTCAAGCATCTACCTATAAATTAAATGACTAATTACTATTCTAACAATTAGCAAAACCTGATAAAGCCCTTTTGTTTACCAGTCACAAGAAGCTAAGTACCAATTCAATTAGATAGCAAATCAATCAAAACCCATCAAAATTAACCAAAACCCATTAAAATTAAACAACCAAAACCACAAAATTCAACAAAGCCACCTGACGATTAAGCGTGGTAGGGTCATGCCTGGACCAGAACACATCAAGCAAGGTCTCATAGCTACACTCCTTGGGATCATACTGAACCCTAACGACCTCCGAGTGGTTCGTAGTCCCCGAACACACGTCGTTGTAAGAGGGGTCGTGAATAGCCAGAGAACAAGAGAGACCGAGAGAGAGAGAGAGAGAGAGAGAGAAAAACGATTGATAGAACTCACCAATCTGGAGAAATGTGTTAAGCGCCAACGAGATCGCCGGAGAACGATAGAACTCACCACGCTGGAATTCTGATCTGGAGTGGGAGTGAGAGAGAGTGAGAAATCAAATGAGCAGTATCTGAAGTGGGAGTGAGAGGGAGTAAGAAATCCCAAGCTGTGTCAAAACATATGGAGAAATGAGCAGTATCCATTTCCCGACCCATTCCCCGATGGATAATTAAAATTAGATCACCGACCCGATGGATAGAAAAATAGGGAGACCACGCATTTCAGGTAGGGCATCCATGGGTAACCATTGGGTATGATTTTTGTTGCCATTCCTAGGGAGCCCCATAACTTTTTTTTGAATCTCAATTGATTGTACGAGTTACAAACATATATAAATAATTGAAATCTAAAAGAGTTGTAAGAATCCAAAAAAGGGATCCTAAATTTTTTTCTTAACTCATAAGATTTGTTTAGGAAGTGAGTTAGTTTTTTGGTTATTTTAACTTGAGGTTAAAAAGTCTCGTTTGAAATTTTTTTGACTTTTTATAAAAGAAAGAATATAATAATTATAGATTATATGTAATATTTTATCTTATTAAATTAAAAAATTTATTTTATTTATTTTTAACTATTTTAATCAAAAAAATCTTAAACCTTAACTTTTCACATGAGCTCGTAGTAAAACATCTTTCCTACTATGGAATTGAACGAAATGAAATGAAAATAGTACGGGAGGGCTAATAAAATATTGAACGGGGTAGAATATTTATTTATATGTTATGGGTTTGTTTGGGATGTGAGTTGACTTTTTAATTTTTTGATTTTTTTATCTTAAGACTTAAAAATCTCATTTGAAATAAGTTTTTTTTAGATTTTTTGATTTTTCTAAGAGAAAAAATGAAATGATTACAATTTAAATGTGACATTTTATCGAGCAAGGATCCTCTAGAGTTTTTTTTTTCTTTAAAGTTTCCTAGAGTGGTGCATTGTGTGGTTGAGATTTAATGACAAGTCACATCAATTTTTCAGCATTAAATCTCAACCACACAATATATCACTTTAGGAAACTTTAGGAAAAAAATACTCTAGAGGATCTTTGGTGCATTTTATCTTATTGACTTTTTAATTTGCTTTATTTTTTATGGCTATTTTAGCCAAAAAGTCACAAACTTTTTCATTCCAAATGAGGGCATTGTTTAGTTGTCGATATGGAATATGATCATAATTTTAGTTTTTATGTTTAATTATAATGAAATGAAATAAATTTTTATTAGTATTATGTTTTTTCAACAAGTTAGTAATAAATAAATTAAGATTTATATTGATAAAAACGTCACTAATTGTTAATTTTTAGTGATAGTTTGAAAATTTTCATAAAAAATATCACTAATTATAAAGCTTTAGCGTCAATTTAAAAAAATTGTCACAAAAAAGTCACTAATTTTTAACTTTCAATGATAGTTTGAAAAATTAGTCAAAGAAAAAATCACTAATTGTCAATTTTTAGCGATATTTGTAAAAAATCATTACAAAAAATTAGTTTTAGCAACAATTTAGTAGAACTTATTTTCAATAGAATTGAATAAAAATTAAGTTTAATTATTAGAACCTATTGATAGTTTATCCTAAAAAATTAGAGAAAGTAATATCACAACTTATAATAACTTTTAGATAAAAATTTATCATCCCAAGCAAAGTCACTGCTGGAAAATCTATTTTTAGCGGCGTTTAAAAAACGCCGCTAAAAGTACTAAAAATGTCGTCAATTCTTATTGCGACGTTTAGTACCAAACGTCGATGACGCGGCCGTCGCTATAACTTTATGACGTTTGAAAAACGTCGTTATATTAGTATAGGCGGCGTTTTTAAAAACGCCGCCAAATGTCTTACCTAACTGTACAATGACGTCACTATGACATTTAGCGACGCTTTTGAAAACGCCATCATAGGCATTTATACATTTTAAAAATCTAGCCGCTGCGGTGGGATATAGTGACGTTTAAACGCCGCCATAACCTTTTTTTTTAATTTATAAATTTTGTTAATTTTATATGGTTGAACAAAAAAAATATCTATCAAACAATTATTAAAAACTAATAATTGATGTTTATTAAAATAATAAATAAACTAAGCTTGAAAACAAAATTAAAAACAATGCATTACATACTTAAGAATAGCAACAATTCAGACTTTAAATGCATCAATTAAAATCAAAATGGTCAAGAAGCCCAAAAAAATTAAAAATGAATAGAAAGCACACTAATATGGCTTATAATATTAAAAATACCACTTGTCTTCCAACTATATCCAAAGATGAGCCTAAACTATATGCAACGGATGATACATTTGGAACCATACAGTACGCTATAATCCGATTAAACAAGATAAAAAGAATTAGAGGGGGGGAAAAGGTAAAAGAACAAGAACAAATAAAGAAAGCTTCATCATATTCCCTCCAATGGCTTTTTCCCTATCCTCTCACATAAATTCTACATGTAGCAACTTCATATCCATCAGGATGATCATTCGGAGTTAAATAGCTTCTCACAATCAAACAGAGTTGGGTTTCAAATTATTCTGTCTTGTCTTCTTCCAAATCAACGTTCCATACCCCGTTGTTTCCACCGTGTACTGATCCGACTTCAAGTGGACTTCGAATATCCTTTGAAGGCATAGGAGATGGTTTGATGAGTGTCAAAGTATTATCATCCCTGTCAAACTCTTCACTTCTCCCGAGTAAGTATAGCTGCCACATGTGAAAATATTCAATGTGAAGACAAGAAAATAATTGACAATTAATTTTTATAGCATAAAAGAAGCCCTCTACGAGGAGTTTGCAACTAATTTCTATGTTCCACCATAAAATTGTTTGATCCGATAGTTGAGGCGATATTTTCTGAGACACTCAAGTCGGCTACGAGGTATTTTATGAACCCTTACATGTGACAACCTCAATCTTAATTTATTTATTAATTTAGTTACAGATCGGCCGCCCACTAAGGAGGAACTGCATGAGCCGGGAATATGACCCTAGCCGTTGGAGGCAAGAGTAGATCGTGTCCTTACCACTTATTCAACACTCTCGTTTTAACAATTCATACTTAATTTGTTTGTCCCCACTTCTATTTGCTGGTTCCTGTGTCAAGAGATGATTTGTTCTTCCAGAATTAAAACCATCGTGACCTCGAAGGCATGATTTTGTATGATTGCATTGCGGCATGCTGATATGGCATGAAAAAGATAACTATCCAAATGCCAGTTTTTGGTAAAACTATAACTCGCATGAAAACTTGTTAAGGGGTGTAAAATAGTTCATCCTATTACCACAAGTAAGCCCATCGAACTTAACTTGTTTAACTTCCAAGTTTGTTGACGTCCTATAACCTAAGAACAGTCACCTTTTCGAAGAGTACTTTGGCTACTCAGATAGCTGCACTATAACTATTGCCAATTCAATGCTTATAGAATCTAGATGGTTGGAAAGTCTCCACCAAGAAACAAAGCATTTTATAGCCTGAATCAAGTACAAAATCAGATACAGATATTAAAAGGCTTACAACTGACAAATAGGCACCACACCTGGGATATGAGGTTTATCCCTACCATTTTTTTGGTCCCATGTACTTCGCGCCACCTGATAGCCCATCTTCCTGAACTTCCCACATCACCATCTTCGCAACACTTGAAGACAACTCTCAATGGCGACAATTCTGTTGCTCTGTAGTATTACTGATCCTACAGAACGCTGTACAGTGGTATAACGTGTCAAGCCAGCGGCTATACACTTTCACTACCACGGTCCGTCCTTCGCCGACCAAGGGACCTGACAAGGCAGGGTTGAACAGTTCAGTCCAAGGTTCTTCAATGGATGTTGAGGATGGCTGCTGCCACAAATTTCCAGTTAGAAAGGGGACGCAACAAGGAAGAGCTTGAGAGAGAGAGAGAGAGAATACGAAATTGAGATTGTATACAGTGGTGCTCACCTTAGTCAACGATGCAGATGGTGGTGGCGGTGGAGGTTCCAAATCGAGAGAGAGAGAAAAAACTTCGAAATCGAAATCACTCTGAGGTTGAATCGTAATATCTGAGAGTGAAGGGTTTAGAGAGAGAGCCAGCGATCGGGTGAGTGAGAGATTTGAGGGATTGATTTCTCTGAGACTGAAGGTTTCCCAGATTCAAAATGAGGGCTTGAAGAGAGAGAGAGAGAAGGGTTCTCTGATTCTCACAGAGCCAAGAGAGAGCGAGGAATAACATTATTGTAACACATGTGAAGGCGTTGAAAAAACGACTTCGATTCTCTAAACGGTACCGTTTTATTCAAAATAAAATGCGACGTTTATAAAACGTCGTTAAATGTTAAAAACAGTGACGTTTAAAAAAGCGCCGTTAAATAAACGCCGTTAAATCCTATATTTCCTGTAGTGAGTCTTAGTTATTTTGGAAAATATTTAATTATTTTTTTAATTATTTTTTGAAAAGACATTTAGAAAAGTAGAAAAAATATTGCGAAACCTACCAATGTCAAGTCCTCGTATTGTGCCAGTTAAGGTAGCTATTCGGAAACGAGGAGTTAAGGTAGACTCGGTTTGCCCAAGGTGTCAAGAACATGATGAAACATTAGAACATTTGTGTTTTCATTGTTCGTTTTCCAAAAGGATATGGTTTGGATCAAAGCTGGGTCTTAATTTTGATATCGGGCAAGAATTACGGGTAGAGGATTTGACTGATTTTTGGTTTCATAATTAATGCGTTTGATGAGAGTGCTATTATAGAAGCAATCAAAGTTCTTTGGAGTATTTGGGTTCATAGAAATCGAATTGTATCTGATGATCACATTATTGATCCACTTTTCCACTATCCAATTGATTAACAATTTGAGATTGAAAAATTTTCTTGATATGACTTTCAAAACAATGGCCAAAAAGGAGATCGGAGGCAACTTGAGTTTTTCATGTTATGTCTAATGTTGTTTCATGGTGTATAGATCCAACTTATAAAGTATTTTTGGTGGATGGCGCATGGCATCAAGAGACAGAACAAGTGGTCGCTGCATGGGTGGCGGTCAATAAAAATGGATGTAAGGTGGCATCTAGAGCATTTTCATTCCAAGCGCAATCAGCTCATGAAGTCGAAAACCGTGGTTGCATAGATGTGCTTCAATGGCGCTTTTCTCGAAATCTGAAAATAGTGCTAATTCAGACGGATTGACAAGGGTTGATTAATAGTTTGAAATCATGTGTTACTATTGACTGCTTCTCTAAATCTTTAATAGATGACATGTGTAAGAAGATAGACTATTTTTGTATTTAAGAAGATGCGTCGTACTATTGTAAAGCCTCCTCGTA